GCCCTGGCTGTGTTGGTAGTGGCTGTCTGAAACTGCACCTGAAGTGCAGCACCACAACAGACTGCGTGTCCTGTGACGGGAGGGCTGTGTTTTCCTGCTCCACACGCTGCAATTTCCTAGGGCTCTACCTGGTATGGTCTAACTCGCGGCTGTTTCTCTGTCTCAGGCCTGGCGTGCCTGTGTCCCGCACGTAATGCCACCGTGTGACTGCGTGCCAAGGCTTCAGCGCTGTGTGTGGACACACTTTGAGGCAGTTAGTGCCCACAGGGCAGTGAAACGCTTCGCTTTCACTCCCGGATAACCCAGCCGTGCATGGTCGATGAGCTCATCTGAAGTCGTGTAGTCTGTTTCTAGGTGACTCGTAGATCTGGAGTTCCCTCACCTTGTCTTGGTCAAAATAAAGAATAGTAGATGTGGTCTTATCATTTGTCACAGGGAGAAAACCTGCTACCCAAATCCTCATTTCTTCTTCTTTTTAGAGAGAGATTTTTGCTATAGGGTATGAGCACTTGCAGAGAGACAGAGACAAAAAGTGAGAAATCACCACCCTGGGGGATGGCCACACCGCAGTCCCTTGTCCTCCATTCTTCTCTTGGGATTTTGGGCATGCATGCACACACACCTGGCGTGAGTTTTAAGCTGCTGGGTCTGGAATTTGACCCATGGTTGACTACCTGAGAGTCCAGTGACATAACCATTCCACCCTCTGCTGGTCCTGAGATTCTTCTAAATGATTTTTATGGTGTATTTCTTACATGCTCTCTGTCCCAAGAAGAGACTCCGTGAGAGCACGGACCTTGCCTGCTGGCCCCTCTTACCACTCCTGGAGCCAGGGCAGCGTGTGGTACATGCTGGGCTGCCCAGTCACTGGGGCCGTCAGGGTCAATGAAGTGTGTTTCCCCTCTGTGGCCCCCTTTGAAGACTGAGGACCAGGTCAGACCACTCACCCCTGGCCCCAAGGTGCACTTCTGGTCTGGGTGTCCTGGTGGGTCTGGGGAGAGGGGCTGGGGTGGGAGGGAAGCTGCTGAGTCTGGCTTCAGCCCCTGGTTCTGCCATGGCCTTATTTGAGAACCTCTCTGAACCTCCGCTTCATTATTATTATTATTACTATTGTGTAGAGAAGAATAATAATTGTCCCCCAAAACACACATAGCATACTTTACCCTCAGTTGAAGAATGTATGAAAAATGTGTTTTAAAGTGCTCTGCGGATGTAGCAGGTTGCAAAGTGAAAGTCTTTCTTTTCCTTTTTTTTTTTCTTCTGCTTCACATAACCTAGGTGCCCCGGCCTGCTTCCGCCAGCTGTGAGAATGAGGCTATTTCATGCTTCTTCAGATGTTTTTTTCACTCTGGAGCTTCTCCTTCTGGGTTTCCATCACCCCATGTGATGGCCCGGGCCTCGGGGGTGGGGCTGGGCGGGGCTAGACCGGGGCCACTGTGCCTGCCCTCCCTGGGCCTGCTGCCCGTCAAGGCTACTGATGAGCGTCTCTCTTCCCAGGCGGCTGCTGAAGAGTGAGCTTGGATCGTTCATCTCCGACTACTTCCAGGTAAGCTGCGGCCATCGCGGTGGCCCTCAGCTCAGTGGGCCTCCATACTAAAGGGCAGCTGTGCCGGGCAGCTGGGGTCCCTTAGCGTCCAGAGTCTCACGTGCTGTGTGCTGACAGCAGAGCATCGGCCAGGGTGGTCCCTGTGAAAAACCCAAGATGTTGTCCTGAACAGCTGTTTTCAGGCTTCCGGTTCCAGGCCCCTTCAGCTTCTTAAACATTATTGCTCACCTGGCTTGTCTCTCTGTACCGTATTGGAAATGAAACCTCAAAAGCTTTAAATTTTATCTTAAACATCTAAATAATAACTTATTACACATTCGCATAAATTCATTTTTATGAGAAGTAACTTTTTCACAGTAAAAAATGAACGGCATGGTTCTGTGTTTGCAAGTCTCTGCACTGTCCGGCTCTGCACAGGACAACTGGCTTCTTGGGTCAGCTCCATCCAGCCTGCTGTGACCCTGTGAGATACCTGGCCAGGGGAGGCAGAAGAGCAGCTTAGCTTTTTTTTTTTTTTTTAGATTTTGGCTATAGGGCACATGTGCTTGCTAGAGAGAAAGAGAGAAATGGAGAGACAAAAAACGAGAAATCACCCAGGAGATATGGCCACATCGTAGTCTCTTCTTCTCTACTTTCCTCTTGGGACTCTGGGCACACACCCACATGTGCCCCGCATGAGTTTCAAGCCACTGGGTCCAGGACTCGAACCACAGTCGGCCATGTGGGAGTCCAGGCCTTAACCACTACACCACCTGCTGGCACAGAGCAGCTTCGCTCTAAGAACACAGCTTTGGGGACCCACAGGTGGCATGGTGGGTAAGGCGCTGGACACTCACTAGGCCAACTATGATTCAAGTCTCAGATCTGGCAGCTCACTTCTCACTTTTCTATCTCTCTCTGGTCAAATTAAAAAAAATAATAATTACAAATAATATAATTAATTAAATGAATAATTATTTTAAGACAAAAACACAGCTTTGACTGTGTGGATTCCTCAGCATCTGGAGAGCCCTCGGGTGGGAACTGTGTTTTGAGAACCATCGCACTGAGCACAAGGACCATCACACGTTGCACTGACAACCCAAGGCGTTGTCCCAAACAGCTGTTTTCAGGTTTTTGGTCCCCACCACCCACCTTGGTACTTACTGGGCGGGACTTACGTGCCCTTTCGCCTGTGACTTCTTGTCACTGACCTCCAGCTCTGTCGTTTTAAAGGCAGAGTCAGATCCAAAGATCAGTCTTCCCTCCTGCTGACACTGCTGTGAGGGGCTGGTGGGCTCAGGTTCCCAGACAGACATGGGCTGCTTTCCTGACCCTAAGCAAAGGCTTCTGACAGGGAGGGTCTGGGCAGGTGTTGGCTCCCTTCAATGATGGCAGAGCCCCCATTTCTCACTGCTCAGTGTCTTGGGCACCTCTGTGCTCAGTTTCCTCATCTGTAAAGTGGGAATAAAAATGCGACTTCCCTTGATGTGGCTATCATGTCATCTTCACGCAGTAGCACATGCTAAGCCACTCCTCACATAGTGTGTGCAGAAAGCACAGGGCCTCAGTCAGTGTCATTACCATGAAGACAGACTGCCCGGGCTTCGTGTTCCGCAGGCACCCTCAAGCAATGGCTTCACCTTTGGGTCACTGTTTCTTCTTCTTAACCTTATAGGGCTGCTGTGAGCACTCATTCCATTGCTAAAGTGCTTAGTGGCTAGCGCAGGGTAGGAAGTGTTTTAAATTTATAGGTGCCTACATGCTCTTATTCTAAAGTGTGACCCATCTCTTTCAATGGGGTAGAAATGTGGAAATACAGTGTAACATCTTGGTTTCAGATTGGTAAATATTCTGTATCTAAGTAGACCATACTTTTGAAACAGTGTGAAGAGATCCTTTTATAATTTTTCTTTCCAAGATTCAGGAAGCTTAAACCTTTATGTGCACTTAGGAAGAATGACTAATGTAGGTCACTGAAGCACACACACACGTGCACTTGTGCATGCACACACACACACAGCAGAAAGTAGCTACCCTAGATCTGGACAAACCAGGGTCCAGCGGAGCCTGGAATCCAGTCAGCTGCCTTCAGGACAACTCCCGCTTGGGGAGAGACAAGTATGAAGACTCAGAAAGAGGTAACCCGTCGCCACTGGGAACTGTCTCTGAGCCACCCACCCAAAGGCCAGTCCACTCACTCTCTTCTCTGGCTCTCTGGTGCTTGATCTTAAAGCTAGCTCAGAGAAGTGGTTTTCAATCAGTCCTGGAGAGACCAGCCGAGCTGCCTTCCCCCTTGATGTGGGAGAGACAGGCTTGGTGTGGCTCCCATCAGATTTTAAGTGCCGCTTGTCTTTCAGCATAAGGGGTTACCCCAGGGCAGGTAGGAGGCACATCTGGGTGCAGGCTTGTTTATCCGGGAAGCCTGAGGTTCTGGGGTGGTTCAGACTGCACACAGAGTATGCTGGAGACTGGACCCCTGTACCCACATGGCACCCCTGTGGGCATGAGAGGAACTTCTTGGTGAGCATCAAGTCTCTCTGGAGGTAAGGGTTGGCAACTGGTTTTCACAGTTTTCAGTATGGGGTTTTCCTTACTTAGGTACTAGACTGGAGGGGAAAATCTCTCTTAGACACTTTTTAAAAAAGTAGGCCTTAAGTCTAATGGCACAGAATTTTGGACTTTTGTTTTGTTTTGTAAAAATCTGCTTGGTTCTGCATCCCTGTAAAGCCCTCGCCACGTAGCAGATGCTCAGTACACATCCTCAGGTGAGGAGAAGGGAACGTCCACCATAGATGTCAGAGAGGATTTTATTTATTTATTTATTCATTCATTCATTTAATTTTGGCAGTGGGCACCTGTGCTTGCTGGGGAGAGAGAAATAGGGGAGGTGGGAGCCCCGCGCCGGTACACGGTCTGGCTGCAGTACCTTCCCCATCTCTCCCTCCTCCCAGGGTTTTGTGCGTGGATACGTATGTGCCCAGTGTGTTCCTCTAGCCACCAGGTCGGGCACTTGTACTGCCTGTTGGCCCTGTGGGGTCCGGCTGCCCTCCCCATCCCTGCACAGGCCAGCCCTGAGTGATTTGAGGGGGCACGTGCACAGTGGCATAAAAACATTAGAGTCCACAGTTAGAAAGAGTCCCCTTTAGATCCCTTTGGCCCTGATGATTGTGCCGAGAGTCTTGTCGGGCCGTGGGGCCTTTACTCTTCTTGGCAGTCTCCCCTGGATCAGGAAGAAGGAGCAGGCTAGAGCTCAGCGTCTCACAGTCTAGTTAGGACAGAAAGAAGCGTAATTTTGTCTGCGTGGTTGATTATTAGATGTTCTGCTAGGGGAAGCGACGTTGGGATGGTTCCTGTTCACACAGATGGTAAACTGATGTAAGGGAAACCGTGTGTGAAGGGTAATATGAGAGCATGAACAGCCCTGGCTGCAAAAGTGGTTTGAGAGAGCCTCAGGTTGGAAAGTCTGGCACGAGGCGCTGCTTAAAGGGGGTTCCAAAGCCAGGGGCTCTGGACATGAGGAGGGAAGTCCCTGAGGGAAAAGCTTGTGGTGGTGGCTTACTCTGACCCCCAGCTGTCTGGTGCATTTTCAGGAGGGATAGTCAAGGGGCTTCGGAAGGTACAACCCTCTGGCAAGAGGAAGGTCCAGGGACAAGTACAGAGCAGAAGCCGGGGCAGGCAGAGAGGTCCCTAAAGTATGGACTGGCCATTCAGGAAGGTCGAGGGTGGGCTGGGACACGAGGCTCCTCGCTGTGGGGGGCTCAGATTTTGTCCAGGCCCCGCACTGAAGTCTCCCCTCTCCTGGGACCCAGACCCCAACATGAACTCACCACTTCCAAGTCACCTCTATCTTAGCCTTCGCAAGTGAACCTTTTCATTTTATAGCTTAAAGAGTCACAGAAAGAGTACCCTCAATGAAATGTAATGAGAATGACCTGAGGTGAGGGCCGGGGCAGGCAGGTATGGAAATACTGTTTATCTCTGCCCAGAGAAGACAGGCTGTCTGATCGCAGAAGCCTGGATAGATTTTCGCAAGACACTGGCTGAAAAAAAATCTGACATTTCCAGTATTGATTTTTCTTTTCCTCCCATCTATTTTAAATTGTGCTTGGAAGGAAAATTGGGGTTTTCGAGATGAATTCTGTCTTCTATGAGCTCCGAGGGTAACCAGTTCCTGCAGCTGTCAAAGATGCCCTGCGTGTTTCCACCACTAAGCGAGTGTGCAGCTCAGGGAGTGGCCTTGGCTGTGGCGCTGCCTTGTCATTCAGCACCTGCTGGCTGCGAAGTGCTTGTTGCAGTGTCTCCCCAAACCCAGACGGTTCACCCTTCCTGCAAAACTAGAGTTTCGCTTGATCTGGAAGCTCAGACTAGTCAGTGGCTCTAAACAGGTGAATGAGGAGGAAGCAAACGTGACCACACAGCTGCCCTGCCTGATTGTGCTTAACATGTATGTGTGTGCACATGTACACATGAACATTAGTGTGTGCACATGTACATAAGGTGACATCGAAAGTTCATGGAAGAATGGATTTATATTTTGGTGTGAAAATTTTGAAATAATGCAGTTTTGCCATAATACGCATTTCCATGATCTTTCAGAAGACCTTTTGTGTATCTTTTCTCACTTGCTGCTTGTCTCTGCAGGAGTCCAGGGCAGCCAGCTTTCCTGCGACCTGCTGTTATCAGAGTACAAAGGATGTGAGGGACAGGGAGCTGTGGGGTGCCACACGCGTGTCTGGGTCTCTGTGGGTGGAGGTGCTTCTGCTGAGGTAACGTCATGGGACACTAGCTGAGGATCTGGACAGATGCCCAAGACTGAGGAGCAGGCCAGGACAAAGACTGGTAGGAATGTATGGCTGGTTGGGTGGGGAGAGGGTTAGGGTGGGAGAAGGTTGAGGATGAGGTAGCTGAATCCACAGGACCACAAGGACCACACGGACCCACATGGACCCACATAAACCACATGGATCCATATGGACCACATAGACTCACATGGACCACATGGACCCACATGGACCCAC